CCCCACCCCAGTGCTGCCTCCGTGGAATGAAGTGAAGAGTGCATGCTTTCTCCAAGAGTTTGCTCCCGTGTAGCCCAGAGAGGGTGCCTGTCTTGCCAAGGGAACCCCCGTCAGCTTGTCGTCAGGACAACTTACTCTTCAGTGTCGCATTGCTGTCGCTGGGTAGCAACTCTCGGACCACCTGCCCATCGTCCTTATTCTTGTCCAGCCACCTGGTGGGCAAACGAAGGGCGGTTAGCTCTGTGCATGGGGCAGGCAGACAGCCAACCAGCACACGGCTTGTACACAGTCACTAGGGAGGTCAGTGCTTTGAACTCAGCAAAGGAAACTGGTTCTGTAGAGCTCAGAACAAGAGACCCCACCCCATACTGCAGAGGGAGGGCTGCCCTGAGGTGGTGATATTTGGCTGAGACTAGAAGGGTGACAAGGAGTTAACCAAGAGAAGAGGGAGGGGCCTTTCAGAGGGAACAACAGAGGCTGGGGTAAGTAGACTGCAGGACAATGTGGATGGCGTGCAGTGAGTGAAGGGCAGAGCTGGCAGGTAAGGACGGAGCGGTGGAAGGGTCCTGGTGTGGGACCTTGGCAATCATGGTAAACAAGTTTGTCTGAAAAGCCCTGAACAGCCATGCCATCGTTATCATAAAAAACAACCACCTTTTCTTTCTAAGAGCCTACCTTGTGAGTGGTGCTGTGCTGAAGACTCTGGGGTGGGGAGAAAGAGGGGAGATGAACTAAAACAAGACACAGCCCAGCCCTTAGAGGACCCACAGTCTGGTTAAGAAGACAGGATGGACTGGCCGAGGCACTGAAACTCAAGGCACAGATGGCAGATGAATCAAAGTAGGTGCAACAGGAATTTAGAAAAATAAGAAAGGCTCTTGGTGGAGGGGCTTTGGTGTGAGTCCTTAAGGATGAGCGAGATTTGCCAGCAAGGAGAAGCTGGTGTGGACCCTGAAGGGCTGGGGTTGGACAGCTGTAACTCATCAATCCATCGCAGCGGGCTGTGGAACCAGCTCTTTGCTGGTCATCCGCTGGCAAAGACACTGGAAGAATTCACCTGAAAAGCACTGTTCCCACTGAGCACAGAGACCCAGCCTGAGAAATCAGACAGTCGTACAAGCACAGGTTGCCTTGGCCCCAGTATTCAATCAAGATGGTCTGTGATACAGGACCATGGCAGCAGATGAGACACCCTTGGTGGTCCCCAGGGCGATAGGGAAACCAAGATACTTGCATCTTGACCAAAGTGTCTGTATTTTTCTATGCCTTCTTGCTTGTCTTTGCAGCCCACCCATGTTATACTCCTGAGAGGGGGGCAATTCCCAGGCCACAGGACTATCAAAGGAAGCCCAAGCACTGCCTCCTCTCCAGTCCTCTGACCTGGAGCTCAGGCCACCTACTGGCAGTCCTCTCAGCCAATATATGGCCCCTTCCCTAGGGTCAATGCAGGAAGCACAGTGGTCTTCCCATCCCTTCTCTCCATTCCTCACTTTCTCCTTCCCCAAGAACATGATCTTACATTCTGATGGGATCTTGCTGACTGCTGGCTCTTAGCTAGCATGAAAATGTTAGCTGACAACTAAGTTGTCACACTTCCCATGGGCTTTGGTGCTGTGAATCTAGAACACCAAAAAAACATTTGCTATTCCAAAACATGAAGATACAATTGGGGAATTCTAGGCATTGATGACAGCCCCAAAGGAGAAGGGAGAGATAATGTGGGAGCAGGAAACTGCGGGCGAGAGCTCCTCAAATCAACCTATTAGGTTATCCTGCTGAGGTCACTCTGTCTGTTCTCCTGAGGTCACTCTGGCATCGCCCACAGACATAGAGACTGCAGAGGAAAAGGTTGAGAAGCAGCCCTGGTCACACATTCCTAGGGTCAGGAAGGGTGGACAATCAGCTAGCCCACAGCCATAGGAAAATCTTTCCTGTTCCCCTTTCATTCTCGCCATCACCTATCTGTCCCCAGGCCCTCCCCAGCAGCAAAAGGAAACCATGACTTGTCAGTTCAGTTTCCACCTAAATACTTGAAGGATATTAATAGAAATTTCCAAATATAGCCTTTTATTTCAGCTTCAAACACTTCAGCCCAGTTTCAGAGTGAGATGTTGCTAAATGGATAAAGCAGTTTGCTGGTGGTTTTATGACTTTCCCTGGGCTTGAAAGGATATGCAAGTATGCACAAGTATGTACACACACACCCCCCCCACACACACACACCCCTCAAATGCTTGTCACTCCCTCATCCTGGTCGAGAGATTTTGATAAATAGGCCCGGTTTGTCCCCTTCTCCCGGGGAGTTAAAATAATAGTTCAGATGAAAAAGAAGCAGTGTGAGTTCAGGCTCTACCTCCAGGCTCTTCAAAGTCCTCCTGGGTCCTGAGTCAGCAAATGCCATCACCACATGCCTCAGCATGATGTAAGAATCTATTTTCTAAAATAGGCACGAGGTGTTTGGGGGCAGGGAGAGCTCTGGGAATTCGGGGGGCCTCAGCTCTCATTCTGCCCTGCAGTCAGCACCATTGGTACCACCTTCAGCAGACTTGGCACCTTTCAAAGTGCAACCCCATTTCACCCTCACCATCACCAAAAAACACATGCTGGTTGGGAAGGCACAGAAAACCAGAGAAGTTAAGAGATTTCCCCAAAGTCACACAGCAAGTAGGCGGCTAGACTTCTGGCCCCAAGCTCCCTCGGCACCATGCATGTGGCAACACAGGCAGCGTGGACATTGCTACTTCTTCCTCATCCCCTTTCCAGGTTCCCCCTCTTCTTCCTGACCTGTCTCACCATTTTCTTTATCCACACTCTTCCTAAAGGACCCCATCCATTTCCCTGGCTTTAAATTTCACTCCTAAACTCTCGCTTCCTGAATTTATTTTTCAAGGCCTACTCAACTCACTGGCATCTCAAACGTAACACACCCCAACTAGACCCCCAGAGTTCAGGCCAGCTCCATCTCTCAGGCTCCCCAGGCTCCCCATTTCAGTAGAGAGCCTGACACCTACCCCCTTACCAAAGGCAGAGACCTGGGTCCTCTAGTCGCCCTCTGTCTGTTACTGGCTAGTCCGGTGAACTCTGCCTCCAGGATCCACCTTTGGTGTAACCCCTTCTCCCCACCTTCACTGCCACCACCAAAAGCCAAGCTGCCAAGTTATGGGTTGAATTGTGTCCCGCCCCTCCTCCCCCAAATACACTGAAGTCTTAACCCCTAGTACCTCAGAGTGTGACCTTATTTAGAAATAGTGTCTTTACAGAGGTAATCAATTTAAAATGAAGTCCTTAGGAGGGGTCCTAATCTAACATGACTGGTGTCCTCATAGAAAGGAGAAATTTGGACACAGACACAGATGTGTACAGAGGGAAGACAATGTGAAGAGACACAGGAGAAGACAGCCGTGTACAAGCCAAGGAACGCCTGGAGCGGGGCCTGTTCAGAGCTCCTTCAGAGAGAGTGTGGCCATGCCGACACACTGATTTTGGACTTCTGGCTTCCAGAACTGTGAGACAATAACCCTGTTGTTTAAGCCAATCGGTTTGTGGTATGTGTTACTGCAGCTCTAGCAAACCAGTGCAGACCATCATACGCGTAGACCCCTCCAAGTCTCCTGCCAGCCTCCCTGTTCCCTCCCGGATCTCCCTACAGCCTGTCCTCCACCCAGAAAGCAGGGGGAACTTCCTAACATGGACGGGCCCCACCAATCCCTGCCTGACGTGGGCCTCTGTTCACCTCTGGCCTCACCTGTGGCCTTCTCCTTTGTGTACCTGCTTCGTCCGACTGAAATTCTAGAACCCTCCAGCTCTTTCCCCTGACACTCTTCTTTTCATCTATCAGGAAGCCAGCCTAGAGGTCCCCTCTGCAGACAGACCTTACCGAACGTCTCCATCTCTAGCCCACCCCATCTCAGTGTGGCCACCTCCCATCAGCCTCTGCCGCCACGGGGCGCTGCCTTCATCCCATTCCTCACAGTTTGTAATTATGGCTTTGTTGATCCACCTGCTTATTGTTTAGGATAGTTTAGTTTATGTTTTAGGCTATAAACTTCATGAGAACAGGAAGCAAGTGTACAGTAAGCGTTTAATAAGTATTTTTTGAGTGGATGGGAATAAAACAATGATGGCTGTTGCATCCAGCACCCCAGGCAGGCAGCCGTTAGGTCCACCAGGGGCCAAATGAGACAGGGTTCGATTTGAAGAGAGACCAGAACTGCTCCATCCCATCCTTCTTTCTTGCTCCTTTCCCGGGTGCCAGGATATCCCTCTCTAACCTCTTCAACCCCATGTCTCTTCTTCAGCCCGAATGACCCACCCAGCCTTCTCTTCTCCACCCATGGACACGCTGATCTTCCTTCCAGGCCCAGGTCCAGTTCCACTTCTTTCTGGAAGCCTTCCTTGACCTCCTTAACCCTTGCTCTGAGCCTCTTTCTGTCTATTAGTGCCACTTATTTGGAACTGCCTATGCCATAACTTATCTTTTTAATGTAATCCCTTGTAATACTAACAGTGGCTATGCTTTGAAGATAGTTAGAGACCTTTGTCATGGACACAAAAGTTTTACAATGATTGTCCCATGGGATCACCCCAGTGGCCCTCCACGGCTGGGAAACTGCTCCTTCTGGGCTCATGGGATGGTAAGCAATTCATCTGTAGCAAATGTGTGTCTCTGTGTGCATGTATGTGCACGTGAGGGCATTTGTGTGTGTGGATAGAGAAAGAGTAATGCATTCATGGCTGAGCTGTTGGGCAGCTTGCCCTGCCCACTTCAAAGAGGGCTGTACTTAGTGCAGCCACCATCAAGAAGCCTGGGCCAGCCCTAATGAAGTGAACGTGGACACACAGCACCTTGTCCATAGGTGCAGGACTCAGTCTAGACCCAGGATTTGCAGAGACCAGCAGGTCCTAAGCCTCAAACTTAGCATACTGCATACTCCTCCCAGATGTTGTGACAGGTTAATATGAATGGCCAACTTACAGCACAAAAACACTCATGTTGCCCCTTGTTTTAAAAATGTCTCTTTCAAGAAGTTCTAGAAGTCAACAGGAGCCCAAACTGACTACAAAAGAAATCCAAATGTTTGAGAAAAAAGAGCAAAGAAACTTTACCTCACTAGTAAGCTGGGGAAAGGAAATGAAAACAAAGCAAGATATCTTAAACAGATAGTAACCAAGGAAAGTTGTGCTTGGAAGGCTATATCCAAATTTTGAAAAACGACCTTTGATGCAAAAATTTACAGCTCGTGGCTAACTCTGTACAGTAATTCTCAAATTCTGAAATTGTCATATTTTATTATTAAAAACTTCTGACATTTTGGAACTTGAATGGACACAGTAGCCACACACCGGGATGCCCAACACTGTGTGCGTTCACGTGTGGGGATAAGGTACAAGCGCTGCCAGCAGGGCAACATCTTTCTTGCACCAACATCTTTAAGCCACTATTTTGCTTCCTGGTCCTGGACATAGGGCTGGGTCTTCCCCAAACTTAGGCCCATAACCTAAGATGGAGAAAATTAAAAGCAAGCCGGACTCGCATACCTGAGACACGGGAACTCCACGTTGTCACTCTCAGGCTGTCCCTCCTCTCGCACCAGCACCCGCTCCAGGAACCAGCCGCTATTCCCGCCTTTACCGTCATGCCTGATTCTTACCCGCCTCACTTTCCGCAGGGTGACAGACTCAATGGTGAACTCGTCAACCTTCAGAGGGAAAGACAGCAAGGCCAGTTGGACAGTGGCTCCCGTGGGTCCCAAACACCCAGTGAAGACACAGGCTAGAAATCAGCAAAGCCAGAGCCCCAGTTTCTCCCACTGGAATAAACCGATGTCAAGTTCCCAACAACGGAGATCTCTATTTTTTTGCACAAACAATGGCCACTCCCTAAGACCTCCTTCTAAAAGGTTGCTCCCCCGGAGGATGAACACGTTAAGCTATTGACAAGCACCACCCATTTATTATGATGGAATCCCTTTTCTCATATTCTCAGGCTCCCTGCTGGGAGAACACTGGTCCCTTTGGAGAAGGGGAGTGATTAGGCTTGATTGGGGTGGCCAGGGATCTTTCTAATTTCATAGGTTTTGCCTGCCAATGAGGCAGAAGACATGCAGGAGCTAGAGAGGTGCCAAGTCTACGTGAGCATACCGAGGGGCCTCCAGGGATGGAACACGCAGGTCAAGATTGATGGACAAAGGAGTCAGAAGGTGTAGAAGGAAAAGAGAGGAAAAGGGGTGGAAAGAGACCCCCACATTCTGGGGCTTTCCCTGCTCTTGCCAAGGAAAGAGCCACAGAGGAAGGAAAGCAGAGAGGCTTACAGGATGAAAGGCTGCGTACCCCCTTCACCGGGCGAGCCACCTTGAGCCTCACATTAGGCTCTTTCCTGCGCACCTAGTGTGTGCTCTGGGCCAGGTCTGCAGGCAGGGAAGTGCATCTGCCATCCCTAATCGTCAAAACAGCCAGCCACAGGCAGGCATCTCTTCCCACATTTTAGAAATGAGGAAACTGAGGCTCAGGGGAATGCAATGATTGGCCCCAGGCTGGGTTTGCTGCCAGATCTTCCTGCCCCCATTGCTTGACATGGCTTCCCAGTAAACCCATTTGATTGTTGGGGAGACAGAGGGGGTGCCAGTACATTTGTTATAAGACTAAGAGCAGAATCCAGCTCTTTCACTCCATGTTTGGTGTCTTTCCTGGTTTCTCTTTCAAAAAGGAAACCAAAACGGTGCTCCCAGTGGCCATACCTAGTGCAGGACGCAAAGTTCCCACGCTGGCCCTCAGATGCCCCAGATTTCCACTAGCCTGTGTCCTCCAACCCACAGGTAAGGTGCCCAGCTTCTTTCCCTGCCTGCCCACCCCCGAGGGAAGAAAGGTGCTGCTCTACCCTCCCAGTGTCCTCCTGTTCTGCCCTCTTAAAGCTCCGGGGTGAGGAGGGGATCAAGGCCTCTCTAGGGTGGCTCTCCAGCTCCCAGCTGGAGAGTCCTAGGAGCCTAGTGGGTGTCATGCATGTTAGTTTCCCGTTCCCTTCACCCAGAGTAAGCCTCTCTGGTGGCTCAGTGACAGTTGCCAGCTCTACTTAGAGCAGAGAAGACCAGGGAGTGGGAATGGTGCGGTGAGGGGCTGGAGGTGGGAGAGGGGGTGGGGGGTAGTGCATTGCTGCAACTTACATTGCCTTTCTGAAACATGACGGTGTTATTTCTGCAGTTGTATAGCAGCCGCTCCCCCGTGTCCCCTGCGTCACCGTAAAGGCAGAGGTAGACGTTGGCATCTGTTCCCGCACCTTCGAAGCTTCCAGTGCACAGAATCACACGGTACCGGGCCACTGGCAGGCGGAGAGAGGGACACCACTGGCTGACAGCCCCCTGCTCTCCGGCATTGGCCTTGCTGCTCCCCACCTCTAAGCACTGACTCCTCCTCTCCTGCCAGCTCTCATTTGGGCTGACCTGACTCTTTCACCCAGATATCCAAATCCTGCCTCACACCAGTCAAGTCCCTGCAAACCTGCAAATCCCTTGTCCCAGTCAGATCAGAGCTTCCCAGTTCTAGTCCACCATCAGAATCAGCTGGGAAACACACGAATTCAGGTTCCAGAGCCCTGCTCCAGACTTCACAAATATTAGTTTCCAGAGGGGGACCCCTAAAACTGCATTGTTTACAAGCTCCCCCAGGATATTCAGATGGATTTAGCAGTGTTTGGGGACCACAAGTGTAATTCAAACATTTTGTCATTTGATTCTATCCAAACCAGTAGACTCTTTTGCCTTCGGTTGTTCTCCAATTCATACATGTCTTGTCTTTCCAAGTAAGATATATTTTCTTTGTAAACCAGAACTGAATCTTCCCTTATCTTCCAAACTCTCCAGCACTAAGGACATGCCAGGAAGAGGAACAGAGAAAAAGGCACAAAATGCAGCCGCTATGGAATGGGTAGCAGTTTCTTCCCATGTTGAAAATGTACTGTGAAGGAGGCAGACCTCCGTCTCTGCACATCACAGCCTCACCTCTCACTAAAAATAAGCTGGAAAGTGAAATTCATTCATCCATCCATTCACTCATTCATTCACTTGCCCCATATCTGTTTACTGAAGCCTAGTAGATATGAGGCACATTATAAGTACAAGGATTTGGCAGGGAGCAAGATGGACAGGCTCCAGCTCTCATGGAGCTTACATGAGAAAGGAAGCATGGCGAGGAGAGACAGACAGTGAAATTGTAAACAAATTATGAACAGGAAAATTTCTGAGTTATATCTGTAACAAAGATAACACAATGGAGTGATGCTGCAGAGTGTGAGAGAAGTGGGGAGTGTGGTGAGGTGGCGAAGGTGATTTAGAGTATAGACAAGCTTGCTGCAAGGAAATAACGTGTGAGCTAAAATGATAATGCTAGGAGTCAGCCACAGGAAACTGAGAGAAGAGAGTGCTGCTAAGTGCAAACTCCAGTGTGGGGATGAGCAGCGTGTGTTCCGGGAGCAGAGAAAAGGCCAGTGTGGATGAAGTAGAGGAAGTGGGAGGGGAATGAGATGAGGCCCAGAGGTGGACAGGGGCCAGACATGTCATATATAACACGTCAAGGTAAGAAGTGTGGCTTCCTTTGTTTTTGTATATTCATATATATTTTAATGCAACAGGAAGCCCTTAGAGGGCTTGAAGCAAGAAAGTAACTTGATCTGATCCATGTTTTAAAGGGCATGCTGGCTACCACGTGGAGAATTGATTGTAGGGGAAGAAGAAGGAAATCAGAGAGGCCCGTTAGTGGAATAATTATGGTAGTCTAGATGCGAGAGGAGAGCACCTAGGACAGGTGGTATCACGTACATGGAGAGAAGCCAATAGATTAGAGATATATTTTTGAGGTGGAACCAACAGTCCTTGGTGATAGATTGAATAAGTAATTGAGGGAAAGACAGGAACCAGGGATGACTCCTAAGTTTTCGGCTTGGGCAACTAGGTAATGTTGTCAATAAGAGGCAGAGATGTCTGGGGGGAAATGGGTTTGGAGATAGAGCTCAATAGTTCTGTTTGCTCATTATACATTTGAGACGTTTATTCAATGTTCATAAAGAGAGGTCAAGATGCCAGTTGAATATGTATCTGGAGGGTCAGGACGGTGGACATGACTTTGGTCATCACAGGCATAGAGATTCCATTGAAAGCCATGGGACTAGATTAGAACATCTATAGGGAGAATGTAGAGAAGGATTGTAGAGGGACAACAGCATCAAAGGTTAGCCCCAGGAGAAGCCAGCAACTCAGATGAGAAGAAGCATCCAGTGAAGGAGAGGGGATTTTGCTCTGGACCTAAGACTGCTCTAAAACAGTCAATCGGCAAAAATGAAGGCGATAGTAAGGAATTCTCAGATAAACAAAAACTAAAAGAATGCATTACTAGCAGACCTGCCCTATAAGAAACATTAAAGGGAGTCTTTCACATTAGACTTTAGAGTAACTTGAATTTACCCCAAGAAATAAAGAGCACCAGGAAAAGTAATGAGATATGTAAATATGGAGACAGTATACATGTAATTTTGTTTGTAACTCTTTTCTTCTCATATCTTATATGAAAGACAACTGCATAAAGCAATAAATATAAAACTGTATTGGTAGGTTTATAATGTAGAAAGATGTAATTTGTAAAACAACATAATACAGAAGAGGGGGAAGGAGACAAATCTATATTGGAGCAAAGTTGTATGTTATTGCAATTGGTTGGTATTAATCTGAATTAGATTGTTATAAATTAAGGTGTTAATTATTATTCCCTGGGCAACCATTAAGACAATAACTCAAATATCCATATATACTCATGTGTGTGTGAGTGAGTGAGTGAGTGAGTGTGTGTGTGTGTGTGTGTGTGTGTGTGTGTATGAAACAAAGGAATTAAAATGTTATTCTAGGAAATATCTACTCAACACACAAAAAAGATGTGTATGGCTTGACCTCTCCACTAGTGCCAAGGGAGGGAACATCCAGGCTTTCTCATCAAATTGCCCAGATATGAGGCAGAAAAGGGGAGGGGAGTGGTATAGCCTGAAAACTGTCAGCAGTCAAATATCAAAAAAACGTCAGGCTCTTTATCACATAGAGATTGGCAGAATGGATAATGAATCTATCTGCTATAGAAAAGAGATACACTTAAGATTCAAATATACAAGTTGAAAGTAAAAGGGTGGCGGCCAGAACTGCCTCAAGAAGAAACAGATAATTTGAATAGACTTACAACAAGTGAAAAGATTGAATCAATAATCAAAAAACTACCAATGAGGAAAAACCCAGGCATAGGTGTCTTTACCACTGAATTCTACATTCAAAGAAGAATTAATACCAATGCTTCTCAAATTCTTCCAAAAAAAAAATAGAAGGGAACACTTCCCAACTTATTTTATGAGGTCAGCATTACCCTGCTACCAAAACTAGATAAATATATCACAAGGAAACTACAGACCAGTATATCTTATGAATATGGATGCAAAAATCCTCAACTAAATACTAGCAAACCAAATCCAGCAAAATAAAAAGAATTATATACCATGACAAAGGAGGATTTATCTCAGGGATACAAGTCGGTTTAACTTCTGAAAATCAATTAATGTAATATACCATATCAATATAATAAACAAAAATCACATGATCATCTCAATAGGTTCAGAAAAAATATTTGACAAAATCGCTCTTGCATGATTAAAAAAAATCAGTGAGCTAGGAATAAAAGGGAACTTCATCAACTCATAATGGCTATCTATGAAACACCCACAGTTAACATAATACTTAATGGTGAAAGATTGGATGCTTTCCCCCTAAGATCAGGAACAAGACAAGGATATCTGCTCCCACCTCTTCTGTTTAACATGGTACTGGAGGTTCATTCAAGCCAAGGCAATTAGGCAACCAGAAAAAGAAGTAAAGCTATCTCTATTCACAGATGATGTAATCTTCTATATAGAAAAACATGAGGAATCGGCTATAAACCACTAGAATTAATAAATAAGTTCAGCAAAGTTGTAAAGATCAATATACCAAAATCAACTGTATTTCTATTATCTTGCAATGAACAATGAAAATAAAATTAAGAAAACATTTCCATTCAAAAATAGCATAAAAAATAAGGTATTTATGAATAAATTTAAGAAAACAAATGAAAAACTAAAAAGTCATGACAATATAATGTACAGCATGATGACTATAGTTAATAGTCACATCAATACTGTATGATACATTGGAAAGTTGCTAAGGAAGTAAATCTTAAGTCCTATCAAAAGATAAAACTTCTGTGTGGTGAGGGATGTTAACTAGACTTATTGTGGTCATCATTTTGCAATATATACAAATATCAAATCATGTACTGAAACTAATATAATGTATGTCAATTATACCTGAATTAAAAAAAAACAAGTGAGGGCCGGCCGAGTGGCGCGATGGTTAAGAACTCGCTTGGGATGCCAAAGGGCCCCGGTTCGGATCCCACATATGAGGGCCAGTGACACTGCCCTCCACAGCTAAGATGCTGAACAACAG